TGGGGTATTGCAACAGTTTTTGCCCAAGTCAAACCCCCCTCGATCAACGACCTCTCACACCCGCGCGCTTTTAATTCCATAGGCGGCCATTCATCTTTACGTAATTTTAATATCACAGCAAAGCGGAGAAGCCGACCGTAGTCCGTAGTGTGCGGGAACAAAAACAAACAAACAATGAGAAGACAACAACAGCGAACAAAAATGTAATCTTTGAAACAAAAGCACGAGCAGCAAAAGTGAAAGTCTTAGACGCTCTCCGTGTACAGGGGGAACCCACTAAAAGGCAACAACAAAATCAAGTGACGATGTAGTGGCGGAATACATATCTACATACTTAGGTAGGAAGGGCACAAAACTAATGAATGGATGAATAGAAACTGTTAGGGCAGATTGAAGAACGTTCCGCTCCACATTCATCCATCTCCTTCCACCCATTAAAATCGAAAGTATATCAGCATTTTATGGTTCTGCAATTGTTTCCAGATGTTTGAAACCAGTTTATTTGCCAAAGTCAATTCGAAATCTATAAAAATGTTTATTTATATTCGTACATATGTATGGATGGACATTTGCTTGTGTGCATATACCATACAGAAATACACAGAAACATATCCGTGCGATACATTCGATCAGTCGAGCTGTTGTGTTGAGCTTCATTCGATGTCGAGTAGCAGTCATGAATATGTTTAAAGGGGAATTTAAATAAATCTGATATTCACAGCTCATCTGATTTTATAGACTAAAAATCCAGAATTATTTAGATATTTAATTAGAGAATGCCAGAGAGACTTATTTAAATGCAGCATTCGCTTGTGCAAAGTTTTAATTTATTGTTCAGCAAACATTAAGGAAGATTTAGACAAAAATTTACAGAAAAAATACCAGATGTTACGCTTACAATCTGACTAGCAGTGAATGCCAAACATCTGTATATTTTCCCACGCGTCTTGCCAATCTAAAAAAAAAAAATAAAAATACACAAGAAGGTAGAGCAAGCCGGACAGGTAACTCAACTATCATTTTAAAGCACGTACCCACCTCGTCTTTGGAGCTAGAATAAAAGTGCAATAACTAATACAACAAACTAGCGAATTAAAATACAATTAGTACATTGTATTTATTAATAATAACAACAACCAATATTCGTCCCCTTCCTATTTAACTGATGTTGTGGACAATCTAACGGGCCATGTAAAATGTTCAGACACATGTATCTACACATCTATGTACATATACATATGTACATTTATGCATGCAAAATGCTTTGCATTCTCATTTTTTGTATCTCCCAGATGGCGTACGCGTGCCGTGAACATTCACAATTTCACATCAGCCACACACACAAACACATACGAGTATACTAGCTGAGACCGTAAGCAAGATCTTTGGCTGTTTCTCCGTATCACCGTACAACTAAATAACTATACGCTGCTCTCTATGCTGATGCTTTTCTCGGACTGAATGAGCGCCCAGCACTGATGTATATATGTACATACATTTGTACATACACATGTACATACATACGCTAAAAAAATAATACCAAACCAAAGAATCAAATAAAATTGTACTACGAGACGCACGTTTAGTGTTGTTTATCGATATGTACATACGTATGTATATACATACGTACATATGTGAGTATGGTTGTTGCAAGTTCAACAAAGGCAACGACAGCCAAAACGACCAGAAAGTACGAGAGTATCTCGGGGTCGGTCTCTGGCTTCCCGACGCCACTCAGCTACTCAGCCACTCAGCACGTTCATTATGATATTTTGTCAGATATAAATTTAAGAGTCGCTCTCGCGCTGTACCCTGTTTCTGCTTATGATTGTACGTACACACATACATAAGTACATATGTATGTATCTATATTTGTATCTGTGTGTTTGTGTGTGAGTGCTGCTGTTGCTGCGGTTTGTTGCGCGACAAGCATACGGATGTGTCAGTTAATTATTTGTTTAAATTTCGTATTTCATCGTTCTTCCAATGTACAAAATGTACAATAAATACGGGAATGCATACATATTTTACATACGTATTCACCTTGTGCATATGGCACATACGTACATACGCATGTACATATGTACGTATTTTTATTTATACATTTCGCACAAGATTTCTTGCTGATTAAAGCATAAAATCTCACTCGATCCACATTTTGGTGGGGCCCGTCAGCAGACTGGCTATTAGATCTGACCCAAGCCTTAGCTTTCATTCCAAAATGAAGATCGGACACTGTTGTTGTTTCTTTTTTTCGTGTCACACTCGTATTTTTGGATCAGTCGTTTGGCGAGGAATTCTGTGGTCTGCAAGGAACCAGGAGGTGGCCTGCAGCTGTCACCTCCAAAGCTGCTGCTTTCGTATCATGGCACAGTAAAAGCAGCAGCCATGCAGCAACGGCAGCAGGCGATAAGGAAGAAAGCGCAAGCAAACGGTAAGGTGCGGGGGCATGGGCATGGGACTGTGACTGTGACTGGAACTCCATCCTCGGCTTGGAAAACCGGTGCAGAACTCGCTGTGGCCAGCGCTTGTTGTTGTGTCTGTGTGTGCTTCTCGCCACCGTTTTCGTGATTGTGTGCGGTGTGGTGAGAGCATGCAACACTTGCAACACCAAAACTGCACGGCAATCGAATAAAGCCTGGCAGCCACAGCTGAGCGCCTGATACCTTGCGCCGGCTGAACACCTGGAATGGGGCACAAAATACAAAATTTCGGGATAGGCTGGATCCCAAAACTATGCTTGGCAATCCCCAATCCAAAGGAGGCACGAAATACACTCCTCAGATGGCATGTGGGGCCGGTGGTGAGAGAAAAATGTAGACTGTCGAAGGGGCGGTTTACGCGTGATATTTCTGCATTCAGAAGGGATGTTTTGCCTGTGTCCGTTGAGAGGGTTGGGATACGATTGGCATGAACGAGAAGTGACTGGGACTGGCACTGTGAATGAGGTGGCGGTGGCGGTGTCTTCGTCACCAGTCATCGAACGCTGCACAGAGAAAACTCGAATATTTGTATACCCGATTTCAAATATTTCAGAGAAAACACAAACAAATAATGATCTATTTGAAAATCAAATAGACGATAAGAAAATTTACTAAAACCAGGCTGCAGATAATAAAATTGTTGAGAGAAAATGCAGAAAAAAACGGATGAAAAAAAACAAAATAATCAAAAAAATGTTAATTAAACATATTCAAAGCCCTCTATCAAGAAAATTATGTTTGATTTAAAAAGGAAAAAGTTGCACAGTGACTTCAGATTAAGTAAAATGCTGCTTTAGTTTGAGCACATTTTGATTAGGTATTAAAGGGTATTCATTAGCCTGCTGGATGGTGGGAGGGAGACCACCTTTCTCGTTGGAAACCTGTTTGCCCAGCCAGCCAGTTAGCCAGTAAGTGAGTCAGTGAGCAAAGAGCAGCATTGACCCCAACTGAGTCAACAACAAAATATTCCATTTCCAGAGACAGGGGGCAGCAGCGTCAGATCCGCTGGGGCCCCAGGGTCTTCTCTTGGTCTTTGCTGTCCTTAAGGGATCTCTCGAATCGAAATATTGCAGAACATGGTGCGAAATATTTAATACAAAAATGCTAAAAAAAAAGTATGAACTGACAACAAATAAAAGAAGACTACTGCAGCAGCAGCAGCAGCTGAGACAGCGGCCAAAGCAACAGCAGAAATGTACAGCGGCAGCAGTATGGGCACGGGGCACGAGCGGGAGGCAAAGTCACAAACCTGTTCATAGTTGAAAGAATATTCGATGTGAACTCTTTTGCTTTTTCGTTTGTAGTTAGTTCAGACTATAGGTTGAGAGCCCGCTGCCACCTATAATGCGGCAAGACGCTGTGTGTTGTGTGGCTAAGCTTCGGTTTTGGGCTGGAATTATTTAAGCTTAATTGGGTCATTCACACGCGCCACTTGCTCCGACTTATAGAGAAAGAGAGGAGGATATGCTGTATAGTGAGATACTAGTGAATGAAGAGCTAAAGATAGAGCGGTAGAGAGATCTAAGAGGTTTTGAAATTAATTATTAAATTTATTCCAAGATCTACTGCTTAGGTCTGCAGATAGAAGGTCTCTGTGTATGTGAACTGAACGAATACTCTATTAGTAAACCTTGTTGAGGGGACACAACGTTTTAGCTGCCAAAACTTCCGGTGTAGTAGACGAGATTAGGAAGAAGCAAGAGAGAGAGAGAGAGAGAGAATAGCGGGTTATAGGAATTTGAACCCCTAAAATATGAACATCGAATTGGTTTTATGGAAGATTCGAGAGACTGTCACTTTCCACCTCTCCCTCTCTCTCTCTCATACTCATTCCCTCTGCTACCTACAGAGGTGCAAAGGATCTGGGGATCCAGAATGCTTCTGCAACGAATGATCAGGGAAAGGGAAGGGACGGAAACGCAAACGCAAACCCAAGGCAAAGTCAACAGCCCAGCAACAGAGCAGCAAAGCCAAACAAACGAAAAGAGAGGCACAGAGAGAGAGAGAGAGAGAGAGAGTAAAAACCAAACCGACAACTTCTGAGAATCAGAAAATAGAGAGGGAGAAGGATGCTATGCTCTCTCTCCCCGCAGCAGCAGCGGTACATTGTACATCCATAATTTTTTCTAGGCATTGCAACAACAAGAATGCAGTCTTAGCCACATTTATTTGGCAATTCTTCAGTTTCTCAAAATGAACCACAAAAACTACAACCACACACACAAAAACTGGTCTTGATCTATTTTTAAATCCAAGCTTCGGATTGGAAGCTTTTGCTCGAGCTTTAAGCAACACACAAGCAAAGTACATGAAGCATAGAAAGAAAACATCAATCAAACGAAGTTCCTAGCTGTGCGAATGGCTCAAGGTCTGCTCGAAAATAAACCCCGAAACGGGTTTCAACACCACCCACAGCAAGAGCAAATACTGACAGGAAAGAATGTGCACATTTTGATACCCTCTGCCATACCCTTCGCAGGGGGTATCGTTCTATAGCGATAAGAGATGCAAACTTACCCCAGCAGCTAGGCGATAATCCAATTTGATTTATTTACTGAATACAGTATTCCATTTGTTAGCTATTTGCTCGTAGTATTTCCACACAGATAATTGTTGTTCACTTTATGTTTTTATTTCATTTTGAACTGCATGATACAAAAATATGTAAGCCAAAATAACGATAAGAGAGATCAAGTCTCCCTAACACTCTTCGACAAGGTGTATTTTTTATTGCGTGAGGCATTCCACTCTACGGTAATTGCTTATTTTTATTCATTTAGGCACACTTTAGTGCCACAAGGAGAGCAAAAGAGACAATAGGCAAATGCCTCACCTTACATTCATACACCCTATGCCAGTCAATGTGTGTGTAAAAATCAAAACAAAACAAAAACACTGCAGGATAGAGAGGGAGAGAGCGAACATTGTGTTGGATTTTTAGTTTGCCTTTAGTGGCTTTTACTGTGGGCCCTGCAACATGTTGCATCTCATTTTTTGGCCGTAACGGTAAAGGCAAAACGCTGCTATTCGGGGGAGGGGAGCAAAAGCAAGAGAGCGGAAACAAAAAAAGACAAGCACACACACATACACGCACACACATTTACTGGCATGGGATATCGCCGGGGTTGGTTTCAATTACTTGTAAATAATATTAACAACACTATAAACAATCACTCAAGTAACTTTTGTTGTGAGTTATTTCTTGCAAGTCGCACAGCTAAACACAAGACAACTTATATTAAAGGCTGTGATTAAACATGTTCCACCGGAAGCACTTTTCATTATTATTTTTGTTTGTTACGAAAGTCACAAAAAACATCAGAGTCCGAAACAATATACGTTAATTATAAATATTTTATTTATATTTATTTCTGGCGGTATTTTCGTAATTTCCCGTTGTTGTTTTTACCGTGCCGACGCGTATGTGTTTTTTTTTTGTATTTTGTCCAGTATGACCGCGGGACAATTGATCAAATATACCGACAGACCCTCGGGAATATACCGAAATATACCCTTTCATTTAAAAAATATACTGTAAATACACCGTAAATATTTAAATATTTTCTTCGACTTTGATCTTCTGTTTAATATTATCAGCTTTCAGCTTTAAAACTTTATTTTTGATTGATTTGTTTTTGCATTAAGATTTCCAAAATTTCCTCAATTCGAAGATCTCTGGAAGATCCCTCCAAGGGACTAAATGTTGCTTGTTCCGTGCCAAATGTTGCGGAACAGTGCTGCTCACTTTTCACAGCATGTTGCTGGCCAATTGATTTTATGTTGCCAACTGTCAAATTCGCAGGTGGGGATGGAATAAAGACTCATTGTTGCGATGAAAATTCCCAGAGGAAGCAAGGGAGGTTTTTCGCTGCAAAATTGGTGTAATAAATTAATGCGGACTAGTCCTCAGATGCGCTCGAATTGCGCATCAAAATCGAGGAAAATTATTTAAGACTACGGTATATTTACTGTATAATTTAGTATATTTTTGAGGGTCTGACTGTATATTTTATCTATAGTTCCGCGGCTACACTGACCACAATTAATAATAACAAACAACCAAACAGAAAAAAGAGGAGACAGAAATGACCGAAACAGCTAAAGATGTACCAGATGAAGCCGAAGAATCGCCCGCAGCACAGCCCACAGCCTCAGAGTCGCTGGGTTCAGCCCCCATAGAAGCGCACAATGAGGAAGGAGAGAAGCTGCAGAAAACGCCCACTGGCAAAGGGAGTAAGAAAAATAAAAGCTCCAAGGCGGCGCAGTCGGTGTCCATTGCCGTGATGGACCCCGAGATAAAGAAACTCACTCAGCGCCGCATCAATGTGGCTGGAGCCCCCAAAATGCCACTGAATGGTTATGTGCGATTCATGAACGACAGACGAGAGGAACTGCGACGCGAGCAGCCGCAGCGGACGGCGCTGGAGCACACGAAGATTATTGGCGAAGAATGGCACCAGCTGCCGGAGGAGCGCAAGGTTCCGTACATGGAAGCGGCCGCCAAGGACAAGGCTTTGTAAGTTACGAGAGATTTACAGTGCACGTTGATTTTCTGATTGGGTTTGTCCCTTTTTGGTTTCCATAGGTACCAAGAGCAGATGCAGCTGTTCTTTAAGGATCATCCTGAAATTGTGGCCAAAGAGTTGGCTAAGGTGAAGAAAGCTAGCAAAGGGGACACTGCCTCGAAGGAGAAGACACCCAAAACGGCAGCCAATAACGATGTCAGCGTTGCCAAAGGAAAGAAGCCTAAAGCGAAGGCCACAACAGCAAAGAGGCGTGCAAGCGAGAACTCTCCCGACCCAGATGATGTGCCGCTATCCCAGGTAAAACGAACGCCCACTCCACCACCGCCGACACCACCTCAACAAGCACAAGCACCAGCTCCAACGCCAGCAGCAGTGGCAACCAGCATTGTCGTTGCACCGCGTGTCCTTCAGCCGGGGGAGATACCCATTTACACAAACGAGTTCATCGAGCACAATCGCAGCACGGAGAACGAGCTGCGAACGCTGCGCAAGACAAAGACGGATCTGGAGCAGCAGAACGCCGTGCTGGAGCAGCATGTCGACAACACCAAGGCTGGCTATGCCAAGGTGATGGGCGAGGTGGCCGAACTGAAGGAGGAGAACGTGCGTCTAGAGGCGTATGTGAAGGGTCTCCGCCAGAAGCTGGTTGCAGCCCTTAGCGGTGTGCCACTGCCTCCGCTGGAGCCGTCCGGTCCGACCGTAAGCAACATAGACAGGTACATGCACCACCTGGCCGGCCTCACTGGCCAACCGCACAACACCATGCTGCTCAAGGCGCGAGATGCTCTGCGCAAAGTGGATACTACCACGCTGCTCAAGTCCTAGTATCCCATCCTTTTTAGATGAAACGATTGTAGAGTGCAGTATTTTATAATTGCAATAGTCTTAGCAACCATCCACCACCACAGCCGTACCACCACATATGTATGAAGTATTATTGTAAGATGAATTTTGTATGCTTAATAAACCCGTGTGAAGCTTGTAATTGTGAGAGTGCGTTGCTCGTTTAGTCCTGGGATGTGTCACCTAAGCTATCTGCTGCGGAAAAGCTATCCGAGCCGCGTGGCGTTGTATACATGGCGTACCGCCTGGAGTAGCCCGACCCGGACTCGTTGCCAGGAGTCTTTCGGGTTGAGGGACTGCGTGGAACGCCACGACGCAGCAAGACACGGTTCACCATGAGAAACCCGGTTGCAAGCAAGGGTAACACCATGTAGGGGTTACAAATCAGACCAAAAATAAACAGACTGAAGGATATCATCCAATTGATAAGGGTTTCTGTGGGAACAGACAATAAAAACCGCACCATCTTTATCATCTTTTAAAAAAAACTCACGTTCAACCTGCCAAATGGTGGCCACCGTAGTGTAGATAGCCGTCGAGATTGCCACCAGCATGGCGTACATCTTGATTTATTATGTTTCGCCTTTTGCGTATTTCAAGCGAGAACTGTTGGAATTCTGTTGGCCAGACAGTTTTCCACTGGAATGGCTCACTATGTTACAAACAATGAAAAATTATAACAAAATCGAAAGTGATGTGTACTGGCTTCACGCAGCAAAAAAGGAAAGGGGTTGTTTCTTCTTTTATTGTTAAACAAAATAGTCGTCTCGTCGTTTCACTTCTTCGTTAATGAACTTAAGCGTTTTTCTTCTTAATGTTTCTTTCTCTTTTTTTTCGATTTGTTTCTTAGGAACAGCAAAAAAAGTTAAACAAAAATAAATTAAAACTTAAATAGAAAATAGTTTTGTTTGATAGTTGTTGTTGTTGTTGTTGGTTTGAAAAGTATTAAATTCTAAATTATAGCGTACATTTAGGGTTTTATAACAAAAAATAATTTAATGAGATAATAAATCAAAGGCGCAGACTTCATAAATATTCCATTGAGTCGGGGGGGAAGGTCAACGCTCGCCATCCCCCCATATCAAAGGCCATCACTTAGGTTCGTCCAACACTCTCACAGCGTTTGGTAAAAAAGAAAAAATACATGGTTCAGGGGCATCCATCCTAGTTATCATCAATTAAAAATACGAATCGCGATTTTCATGTTTGTTATTATTTTTAGAAATTTGTGTGTGTTTTTCTTATGCTTCCTCTTAAATGTGATTTAAGTTTTGTAATCATTTTGTTAAAGTAATCTTTTACTTTCCGTGTTTCAAGTGGGAGGAGGCAGAGACTCTCCCAAAGGTGTGTGTGTTCGTGAGTTGAGTGGGGGATATGACGTGGACAGAGCAACTGGCTCAAAGCAATGGCTTGACTAAGATAGGATCAGTGGCTCTTTAAAGTAAACCATTCAAGGATAATTTCAATTGGAATGCCAATTTGCGTGTGGGGTAAACGGTTAGGAATCTGCTCGTTCAAATGTGACCAATGTGGCGCGGCGATGTGTTCAATGTTGTGAAAGAAACTGCTTGCTTATTCTTCTTATTCTTATTACGGACATTCAGATATTTGCAGGCGAGCTGCCTCGGTTCGGTTTTAATCTTCGGTTGGGATCGCTTGTGTTCACAGGCCGAATGGATTGCTGCGACTGCTGCTGCCTTCGGCGGATTCTCCCTCCCTCATGTAAAATATAATCTCAGAGTTGTCGTCTTAGATGGAGATGCGAGGACGATGACGACGACGACGACACCGTCAAGGGCTGCTGCTGCTGCTTCTGCTGGCGTCAGGCATCCGTACCATTGGGGTTCATGCCCACAGGCGACACAACCATCATGTTGCCTGTCTTGGGCGTGTAAACGCTGGCATTGGGATCCAGTGTGGAGTTGCCATTGTTGCCGTTTCCATTGGCGGCAGCTGCATTGGCAGCAGCCACCTGCAGAGCAGCAGCCACACTCACCGGCACCATTTGCTGCTGGTTGCAGGGAGGAACCCCCTGTTGTTGTTGCTGCTGCTGCTGCTGCTGCAACTGTTGCTCATGCCTTTGCTGGAGATGCTGATGCTGTTGATGCTGCTGTTGCATCTGATTCCTTTGCTGCAGGTGCTGCTGATGCTGATTGCTTTGCTGCTGCTGGTGCTGCTGTTGTTGCTGTTGTTGCTGTTGCTGCTGCTGCATCTGATTCCTTTGCTGAAGATGCTGCTGATGCTGTTGATATTCCTGCGCTCCGCTCAGGCTGAGCATCGGCGATGACGGTCCTGGGCCCGACTGCAGCGGCGGTGTGTCATTCATGCGCAGAATGCTGCTGCCCGGTCCGTGGGGGCCTGTGTTCATGCACATGGTGTCCGGCATCACGGCCAGAAGTTGGGCAATCTTGGCCTTGAGATCGATGACCTCATCCTCCTTGGAGCGACGATGGTCTGAAGGCGAAAGCGTTGTTAAAACTCGAGCTGGAACAACTATCACAGCTTCACTACTCACTGTCAGATATTTCAATCTGGCGCTTGGCTGCACCCAGAGCCGAGAACAAGTCCAGCTTGACTCTCGTCTCTGCGGATAGATTCTTCTCCAGCGTAGAGTTCTTGTCCTGCATGGCAGCGAGGGCTTTCATGAGCATCTCGGCATCGGGCTGCGACGATTCGCGGTTGCGTACATTCACCTCCAGCATGCGATACTACAAAAATGGAATTAATTAAATACCCTCTGACGTAGGGTACAAGAATGAGAAATTCCTGCATACCTCTTGCTCGTATTTGAGTCCATGCTCGACGGCCAGTTGCTTGGTCTCCTCCGTTTGCTTGAGGTCGCACCGCAATCGCTTCAGCTCATCATCCATTTGCTGGCGCCGTTGCTTGCACTGGGTGCTGCACTCGGGACGAGCAGCCTTCTCCTCGGCTGCCTTGCGTGCCTTTTTCTCGTTGGCCAACTGGGCCTCAAGCGATTGCTTCTGCCTCCGCTCCTCGTTGAGTCGCCGCTCCACTGTCTGAAGATTGAGAGCGTCCGCATGCCGCACATTGTTCAGCTCCTGGACGCGCTTTTCGAGCTCCTCGCATTCCTTCTGCTTCGCCTGCAGACTGGACTTGCTGGTCAGATTGGTGTCCAGCTTCTGGCGCAGTTCGTTCTCGATTTGCTTCATGTGGCTTATTTCTGCGCGATATTTCTTCACATCGGCTTCCAGCTTGAGACACGTCTCGCATATTTTGGACACCACTTTGCTGGCCATGTGCGCAATGGCATTGCTCGATGTGGAACTGGCCGACGAGGATACGGAGCTGGCATCGTTATTGTTGTTATTGCTGGCTGAGTTCTCCTTCTCCTTGTCCTTGTCCTTCTCTTTTTGCTGGTGAGCAACCTGCTGTTGCTGGTTGTGATTGTCCTTGGTCGCATTATCCTTCTTGCCACGATTACGACGACCTACAAAGGTATCAGTGTGATTAGTTAAAGGACTTGGATTAGCCTATTGCCACTCAGCATACCCTTGGGGGCCTTCTCAATCTGCGGTGCTGGCTCCACGCTTGCCGCCTCCTCCGCCTCGGCGTGAAGGGCATTCCCATTGGGCATCACGTTGTTGGCCTTTTTATCTGCGATTATGCATAAAGAGAAATCAGCATGGGTTTTCCCCACACATGCTAATGCAGCAGTACTCACCGTGCTTGTCCTTTCCCCCCTGTGGCTGTTGTTGTTGATAGTTGGTGCTACTATCCCAGTCTGACTTCTCCTTATCCTTATCCTTACTATTATTACTTGATGGGGCTGTTGCTGATGCAGCTGCTGCTCCTGCTGCTGCTCCTGCTCCTGTTGCAGCACTGCTGCCATCGACCTGGTGATAATTGTTGTTGGTGCTGCTGCTGCTGCTGCTATTTTTACCCCCATGCCGCTGCTGCTGACCATTGTTGTGCTCATTATCACCAGCGTCACCCTTATTCCGATGCTTATCCTTGTCCGTGCTGCGTCGATTGTTCCTTGAACCACCGCCGCCACCTCCACCACCACCAGCGTGACCATTGGAGGTTGCTGCAAGTGTATATTTAGAAAGGTTAGTATACATTTATTTATACATTGATTATTAAGCTTGATATCAAACATAATTGCGTTTTATTGATTTTTTGAATGGGGTGAACTTGAGCTTTGGGGGCTTCTATGAGTGTTGTGGTCCCTATACGCATTGGTTCCCTCCCATAGAGGTTCTTTCGGTTAGGCGGAAAGATGTGAAGAATGAAGAAGATGAAGATTTCGATATGCCGACTGGTTGCTGTGGGTTAGTTAGTTGACACTTAGTGGGTGAGTTCAGTCTCAATTGGTTACATTACTCTTGATGGATTCGTAAGTACATGCGCATACACAAACAAACAAACGGAAATATTACTGGAACTGGTACTGGTACTGTTACTGATACATAGATTAATGTGTGTGTTGCCGTAGTGAGGAGGGACGGCTGAAAGCAGCGTAAAGTATTATTACCACCACAACAACCATCGGCATCAGTGTAAGCAGAGGAGCTAGTAGAAGAAGTACAAATAGAAGATGGGGATGCTGCTGCTGCTGCTGCTGCATCTCCCGATTCTTGATGCTGTGTCCCCGCCAAGCTTGCTGTCGTTGCAGCCGCGATGTAGTTGTATGAAACAGGAGTGGTAGAAGTAGTTGCTGCACCTGTGGTTGTTGTCGTCGATGATTGCTTGCCCCCTGTCGACGCAGAGGAGGAGGACGAGGGTATGGATGATGACGCCGCCGTGGAGGCCCCTGCCCCTGCAGAGGCTGACGATGGCGACGACGCCGTTGTGCTATTGTTGTTGTCAGTCGTGCTGTTATCCTTGCTGCTGCTGTTGTTATTATTGTTGTTGTGATGGTGATGATTATGGTGATTGCTATTGCTTGAACTGCTGCTGGCGCCGGCGCCGCCGCTGTGATGATGCTCATGATGGTTTTGTGCTTGGGTTGCAGTTGCCAAAATGCCGTTGGGATGCCCCGCGGCCGATGCGGCTGCAGCTGCAGCTAGTGCCGCCGTTGTGACCGACCCATTGGCGACCACAATTGTGCTCGAAGATGCCGTGGCTCCAGACGCATTTGCCGCCTCATCGGTGGCCTCCTCGGCAGGCAGAGCCTGCTGCAGGAGCTGCATGTAGAACTCGTTCTCCTTGGCCACCTCGCGTTGCTTGCGCTGACGCATGCGGTAGCCCACGTAGCTTTTAAAGCCGAATCCAAGCGTGACAACCGGATAGCCAATGCTGTAAGAGTTACAGGTTTGAAAACATGTGATCTAATGGCATCATCCACCTTCGAGGCTCACCAATGCGCCGCGAACGGCCTGCAGAGATCCAAGTGCGGCATGTGGCGACTGTCTTTCCATCGAATGCCCACCTCGAGGTAGACAAACAACATCCAGAGTATGATGGTCGGCAAACAGATACCCTTATCTGCAAGAAACGAGTAAATATTTAACTGCCTGTCCGCTCTTCCATAGATCCACCAAGTGATGGCCGGTATGACGTACCTGTATGCCAGACGTACTGCACCCAGACGTATGTGCTGGCCGCAAAGAGCAGCCAGTGAACGGGTATGAAAAATAAGCAGACCAGATCCGATGTTATCGCAATACAAACGAATAGCACGGAGAATGCCTG